GGGCCTCGGCCGCTGGGCGGCGCTGCGGGCGCGGGCGGCGGCAGGGGGCGGCGCCGCAAGGACCGACACGGACACGGGGCTGCGTCTCATCGACTGTATTCGCCGCCCGCTGCGGTCAGGGAACGTTGCATAGAGAATAAACGATGCTTCCTGTCAACGGGACCCCGGGACGGTGCCGTTTCGGTGTTTCTACGAAGCAGTGTGACGCAAGAGTCCCGTGGAAAGGATGCAACACGGTGCCGGGCACAAGGAGCCCCGTGAGAGGAGGGGGCTGGTGGTTACACTGAAAAGCTCGGTAGCCCACACCTGGTACCCAGCAGCAGGTTAGCATAGATGAAGGACTGTCCCAGGAGCACACGGGAAACGAGAGTGGCCGTCTGCTTCCTTCCTCATTTAGTACTGTCTCAGTGACAAATTCGCATCCAATAACTGCACAGTTAATTTCTTACCTTAAGTGAGACCTATGACAAACACTGCACCTGTGCCACTTTACTATTAGGAACCTAAATAACAGTCTTCAGCATGCTGCTGAGTGAACAATATTGATGACTAACTGAAAGTACTTGATAGTACTATCAGCACAGTACAGCACTTCAGCACCATCACAGCCGAATCTGTGCTTCTAATCTGTAATGAGTGCGTGCCTTGTTCCTAAATGAAATAGAGCCCTTACAGATTGTTTATTTTTTTTAACCTTCCTAAGTACAAGAATTGTTCAAAGAACTTAATAGAAACACTTTTGCAATTTAAAGAAATGCAGAGAGGGATGCAAACCCTCAACAGCATATGTGACTTAAATTAGTTAACTTAGTATTTCAAGTTTTTGTGCCCAAACAAAGACCAGTGTGAACATTTAAATAAACCCCTTCCTCCAAAGGAGGACAACAGTGTGGCTGCAAAGACTCACTAGACTTGCAGCAATCGTGCCAACCACACCACAGGTTTAGCGGGCATCGTTGAGCTGCCTTGCCACACTAAGGATATGCTTAGCTCCCTTACTCAGAAGTAAACTAGCTAGTTCAACACCAAGGTTCTCTGCAGCTTCCTGGGCCTGACCGGGGACATTCTTGGCTGTGATGCCAACGTGCTGCACATCATCATTTGGTCCATCTTCATTCTGCAAATATAAACACCTCAGCATGAGGCAGCAGGAAGGAGCAGGTGCTGGATAGTTTCAGCCACCTGTGAAACAGGGTAAAATCTGTGGTCTGAGGAGCCTCAGGAACAGTTTGCTGTTACAGTTTCTAAGGAACCAGACCAAAACTAATACATTTCAAAAGGCCCAGTTTTGTAATTCAGCCTCAGGTTTGGATTTTGAAGCCACAGTTGTTCACCTACCCTTTGGGGATAATTGACACTGGTCTGCATAGTCTCCTTCAGGCTATCAGATCCATCCAGACTGTAAACTGCTCCCGTCAAATACAACTTGGAGAGACAAACAGAAGGGATTAATATTGCATTAACAAATAAACAGAAAACTAACTACCCCCTTTTTTTAAAAAAAACACACAACATACAAAGCTGGGTCTGGAGGGGAATGCTTTTGGAATGCAGTGGGATCAGCAAGAATAGCAGTACAATACAACTATGAGGAAAAAAAAATTCCTCTTAGGGAAGATGCAGCTTCCCAAGGAGAAAGCTGAACTTTTTTTCTAACGTCCCACCTTCTTAATCACACTCCATCGTGTAAAAACACCGATTTCCTGGGGTCAGATGTGACACTTCCAGACCTCAGGGCAAGGCTAACTTTAAAGAAGGGGACACACTGGTACTTATCATAAGAGCATTTCTATATAAGACAGAGTTTCAGTAGCCAGACCCATTCTTGTACCCCTGTTTCAAGTCACAAACCTGGAAGGCTCAAGTCAGGACCCAATCTGCCCTAATTGGCTATAAAGGTATCTGCTGGAGTTACCTTCCAGGAAGGATCAAGGAACACGCACACACAGGAGTAAGTTTTCAGAAATAATCCCAGATAAACACAAAGTACTCCTCACCTGGCCATCTTTCAGCATCGTGTTGACAGCGACAGGGACGCTACATCCACCCTCCTAAAACAGAAAGCAGCCAACACCAAGACTCCTACCCGACACATTTAGAGCAGAAGCCTCTGAAAAGTTTATGCTGCAAACAACCCCACCTATTGCTCGTCAGGCCATTCTCAATTCAGAAGTAATCTCTACTTCGCAATTTTAGGAAAGCGTAACACATTTCCCATACTACAGCATCTGGTCAACTATCAGAGCAGTATTTACTGCTGCAGGCAGAAGAGCAAGGATGCCACACCTACCAAACGTTTCATAAAGGCTCTCTCAGCAATGCAGCATAACACAGTGTCTACATCGTGCAGAGCAGATACCATATTCAGTATCTCTTGGTCTTTGGCACGAACTTCCACTGCTAAGGCACCCTACAGGAAGAAGAAGAAAAAGAAACACAGTATAATCATCATGACCACAATTCCTCAACTTCATACACAAGTGTGCACTCAAGCATTGGTTACAAAACAGAACTGGGAGGCTTGGATGCCTTTCACACTAAGAGAGCGACATTTAGAAGGCTACAGAAATGTATTACAAAACAACTGACCGGTTGCAAAGACATCCTATAGCAGCTGCTGTAAAGGGAAGATCTTCAGCCAAGAGTTCAAGATCACGTTGTCACTTCAAACCATTCTAGAATCTAGCTCAGTCATGACTGCACATGTATACAAATACCTACCCCAACGTCCCCTCGTAACAAGAAGCCTGGATAAATACAAGTCTTCCAAGCTTTTCTCAAGACAAAGATCGAGTGCTAAATGAGTAACAGTGACAAAACAGTTCTTTCTCAAACTGGAAACGAGACTGGGAAAAAGAAGGGGGGCAACGGGGAACCAAACTTCACAGTACCTGACAAACACACAATCAAAATCACTATTTCAGGCTGTATTTGCGGATGTGTCACTTGCACTCACTAACACATAGGCAGATCAGGTTTAGCACATTTGACACCCACTGTGCAACGCTGCGTAAACTCAGCCACACAACCAACACTGGCTGGAATGGTTTGCCTGCCTAGAAATGAGCATGCTATGAACATACTCCAAGGCGGGCGCTTCAGCTCCACCCTAGGGGAGTTACGACACCGTGCGTAAGAAAGGAGGGAGGGAGCGTCACTGGGCAAAGATCCTGCTGTGGCTCTGCACAATTATCCCAGTACAGCGCAGCACCGGCCCTGCCAGAGCCTGCCTCATATCTACGTTGCCCCAGTGTAGTTGTGCCACACGCTACCTTTACCATTTACTGTTTTTCCATTGCTGATGGCAATCAGCCCCCCACACTGCCAGGTAACAGAGCTGACTACCATTCTTCCCACAAGCTGAGCCTAAAACAGTGTAACAGCCAACAGAAGAGATTGATGTAGTAGTTCTTTAGCAACCGACACACAAGATGTATCTGGCACAATTAACCACCCTCGACAGATTGAAAGCCAGTAGCAGTACAATAACCGGTACGGCTGAAGATACGAAAGTTGTAACGTACCTGTCCAACGGCATACAGACAATCTTCAGGGCTTAGGAGCTGGAAGGAAGTACAGTCAGAGTTAACTCAAGTTGCACCATTCAGAACATAGGAAGCAAGAGCCAAATTCTATGCTCGTCTCTAACATCAATCGATTTTGTGCCTGACCAAAGAAATATTGCCTCCCCCTGCCCGTGCCTCAGCGTTTCCATCCCTCAAATGAGATAATGCTCTTTCCTTCACCTGGACCTTGACACTTTGAGAATTAGCTGATCAGAAAAATCTCAGTCACACACACTGCTGCATCACTAGACACAAGTATTGTGAAGTGCTGAGAGACAATTGGATTACAACCTGCTGTTGCTACACCACAGAAAGCTGAACAGTAGAAATTTCCCTATGAAGAAAACAAAAACAACCAACCCCCAAAAAAAGCATCTTCCCTGAAGCGCATCAAATCACATGCTAATATGGCAAGAGACTCAGCAGACTACCTGCTCATCTTTGACAGGACGAGATCTGACAGGCAAGCTGTCGACGGTGCAGCACAGAATGGTACTTTCTGCTCTGCGGCTCCTCACCTGGCCAATGCGATTCTCCCAGCCCATCCTCTTCAGCCCGGCAGCAGCCAGGATGATGGCACTGAAGTCTTCCTTCTCATCTAGCTTCTTCAAGCGGGTATTTAAATTCCCTCTCTGTAGCAGTCATTAAGCAAGCACAGAAACAGCAGGCAAACAGTCCTGTGACCACTCAACATTCACCTAAGCACGTTTACAGAATGCACAACATCCAACAGCCAAATAAGCCTCCAAATAAGAATTAGAGTACCATCCTGAAAGAAGTATTAAATACAGGCAATTGTTCCTTGAAATAGAATTCTGCCAAGCATTATGGAATATTAACTCAAGAACGGTCTCTCAAAAGACATGCATGTCATTTAAGTACATTACAAACACCCAGCACCAACTCCTTTTGCATAGCAAAGAACTAGGCTACTAGGGCTGGAGGAACAGTGCCATTTATCACTATTTCAGTGGCCCAAATCAATCTGGGATTTTGGGAACCCATCAGCATTTGGCCATGCCGCTGCAACAAACACACAGCAAGCACTCATCAAGCAGTTTGACGAACATTCCTGAACACAAAATTCATCTACATCCTGAATCTCAGCTAGATTAAGGCCAGCCCCTTCTTCAGAGCCTCGTGAGAAAGTATAAGACAGAACAGGTATGGTATGCTATACACCCCCCCTCAGAACAGGCTGGTGGTGGGCAGCCTTTGAGGAAGCAGTTTGTTCTTGTAGGTCAGGTGGTATAAATCAGCCTTGAACCTAGAGCTGCCATTAAGTTGTATTTTCCTGTTCACAGCTTTAGCCAGCTCTCACGTTTTGCCAGGAAAGGATACAATATCCCTGAATTCTAACTGAGGGAACTTCTTTTTGAGCTGGGCTGCTCTCCGAAGCGAGCTGGTTCCAATCACGCTGTGGGGAAAAAAATCAATGAAATCCAGAATACTCCTACACTCATCTCCAGCCAGAGACACGTCAGAACAAGACACAAGTGATGACTTTATTTTTATGATGAAATGAAGATCCAAGAACCTGCCAATGATTTATATCTCATTACAAGAAAGAAAACCACTTTTTGAGGTTTAGCATAAAGCCTGTCTGAAGCTCGATGCAGGCAAGCTGCTCCCAAGAAATCCATTTACAGGAGATGCTTCTGGGGGACAGCCCCTAGCCACCATCAAGGACTGATGAAGCCTCATTTAAAGACCATGCCACTTGTCACATAAAAAAGACTGGGCTGCCCCAAACTGAACCAGACATAACCAGACAACTGAAGTTACTAAAATGGAGGCACTTCTTCAGTGATAGAAAGGCAGTGGGAGGAGAGCCTTTGGAAATTGTGCATTAACTGGAAACCACAGAAAACAGCCAGTCTAGGCAATAAGCAATTCCCTTCTAGAAATGTATCCCACTGACTTTTCTTGGTACCCTGGAACCTCAACCAGATGTTATTTTCCCCCTATCCAGATGCATAGAACCACAAGTCTATGTTTGTGTCACAGCTACTTTGTTTCTTTTAGTTTAACATAGACCCAAAAAAAGTCTTTCTAACAGTTACCTCAATCTGAGTCATTTCACTCAGACTCAGACAAAAGACTCCAACAGCCTCTATAAAAAGACAGGTAATTCAAAACAGAGAAATTGCTCACGCTCTCAGCAAAACCATAAGCAAGCGATGCCAAAGAAACAGTGAAAATAATTAAACTGGCTGGGTGAGAACAGGAGCACAGTTCAGGCCAATGCAAGCTAAAATACTGTGCCGGACACACTGTCCACATCCTATGCATTCCCCTGCAGTAAGCACAATAAAGAGGAGCAGGAGTTCACCCTGGAGACTGTGACAAGGAAGGTTTAACTTGAGTAAACATCGCAACTCAAGGGTGGCTTGAGAGATCCAGCCTCACTTGGCGCGTGGCACTCCAAGACAGCACTGCTCTTTTCAGCAAGTGGCTTCGGCATAGCGTCTATGCAAAGGCAGCATAAAACCGCTACATTATAAAGCAAGGAGCTCACTGACTTGCCACCAGGAAGTATGTACCAACTCCTCCCTTCCACTTTTACACCTGTCTTCCCCTTCTCCCCACTCACCTCTTTTCAGGAAGGAGGCTCAGAGTTTTCCCACAGTTTTTGGGATGAAAGACAACAGCATCAAGCGGATTCTCCCTTCTGCAAAATAATGCAAGCACAGAATGGCTGACACATCATTTATCAGTCCTGCTATCAGTCCCCAGAGGAACCACCTCTGGCTCCAAAATAACCATCACCATTGCAATACAAGAATTTCCAGCAAATCTGCTGGCTATGGAGCACTAGGACAGCTCTATTGTTTGCACTGTTCCAGAGATTCATCAGAGGGCAGTTCAACTCTGAACATCTCAAAGGACCCACCTCTGTAAAATGCAAGTCCCTCAGAGAATCAAGTCCCACATTCACACTTACTTGCAGACAGCGCCAATGGTAAAGCCAGGAGGAAGAGAAGTTGGCAGGTCCTTCAAGGAGTGAACCACAAGGTCAACTCTGAAAATGGAAAGACAGTAGTCACTGACCAGGTGGCTGAGCTCAGAGACTCAAAGAAGCGTGAATCCACCCTGAGAATTAATTTGGAGAAGAGGGAGGAATTTCCAGATTTTATAGCTGGAATTACAATGAAATTCTAGTGTTACTGCAGAAAAGCCACTTCCTCTTTCTTGGTCTCTTTTCCCACCTGTAAAATTAAGACAATGCCTTCCTCCCAGCAGCAATGCAAGACACCTAACAATTGATCAGGTTGAATGAGACATTGGAGATGTTAACACAGAGACACTCATCCTACCAGTAAGCAGCCGTTATGCTTCAAACTGAAAGTAATAGCTAACCAAATTAAAAGCTATCTGTTTTGTTACAAGCCACTGGAAATGCCTGAGTCTCCAGCATTTCTTCACCAACTTTACTTGGAAATGCAGTATCACGTGCCTACATGTCAAAAATGCAGAAGAATATCTTTGGTTTTAAACCCACTTTAACTAAGGCATAAGCACACTGAAACCTTCCTCAGAATACTGAAGAAGGAAAAAATACCAAAATAAAAAAGTATTAATCTCGCTCTGTTCCAGCAGGAGACTGAGCCAATTTTTTCTGTAGAAAGAAGTTACCCAGAAAGCAGCACAAGTTGCCCATGTCCAATTCTCCTGCATATTTAGCATGCAAATACACTAAGAAATGTTAACATACTAACACTAAATACGTTGTGCAATACGTTAACACCGCCAAGAAAAGTATTTTTAAAAGAACATACTTGTAAGCAGGAATTAGTTTAAATTACATCCTCTCTGATGTGCACATAACACACAAATCACGGGAGAAAAAACGCCTAACTGGGACAGAACAAGTGACATAACTGCTCCACTTCAAAATATGTGGCCTAAGTCCAGGGTAGAGAGAGGAAACAAAAAAAGACAATGATTTATCAAAGGTTTTCTTTCTTAGCCAGAGAGGTACCAGAACAGAAGGAAACTAGATCACATATGCTGCAAGCCAAAGATGTCCAAAGAGCACCACAAATGCCAAAGAAGGAAGAGAAGCAATGAGCTCTTACTCATTTCTTTCAAGTGCATTTTCCAGCTCTTTGGTGAAGAGGCTCTTCTCCCCGATCTACACATAAATGGAGGAACACGAATCACACAAGAAACATCTGCAAATATATCAAATACAGTTACTTCTCGTGTAGAGGAAGACAAGATGCTTTACCTTGGAAAGCGCTGTGTCCAAGATCTTGTCTCCGGTCGTTGACATGGCAACTGCTCAGAGAGAGAGAGTACATGTAAACGTAAGGCTTGCTCAGAGCACCTAGGCCTAGACTAGAATCATCTACATGACATGTAACAAGCAGTACGGTGTCACACACTACTGTGTGAACACAGACTTAGTATGGCTGTAAGAGCAGCTCACTTGTCTCTAGAAAGGACTCTAGAGACACAAGTGAAATTGAGACCTCCCTCATTGTTCTCAAAAACAGAGTGAGGGAAAACAGGGCAAGTTTTTGGAAGAGCTGAGCGGATGGAAATGGCCACAGTCTGTCTCTGAAGTGCCAATAAACAGGTACTCAGCAGTTCTCTTCAGTGCAAGGCTGGGCTCCCATTATTCCTGCTGAATGCCTCAAGCCCCATACAGGAAAAGGTCCCTAGTGCACAGTGGGGTGCAGCCAGAGCAATATTAGGTATGTATGTATGGTATGTAGCAACATAACACCATCCAAACAACCCACTCAAGAGTTTCAACCATCAAGAGCTTATGAAATCCACCTTTGTCCCCTAAAAGAAACCAGCAGCAGTTACTCAGCCACACAACCTGACTGATTTCAGATGGCAGTCTTAGATAAGCAGGGTCAAACCCTCCTCCTCATGACAGCATGCTACACACACCTCTTGCACACAGAGATAAGCAGCCGGCTCCTGCTGCCATCCATCCCAGGGCAACAGCCAAAGAACTTACCGATCTCAAAGCGGAGATCAGGGTATAGCTCACGGAGCATCTCGACTATGCTGTCAGTCTGAATCCGGGCCAGCTGCAACGAAGCAGAAAGCAAAGCCCTAAACAAAGAGCATGCTGTCCATACAGTAGCTAAAGTTTCTTCGACAGTTGGGCATGTGTGACCACTACATTCTCTAAATAAAACTCATTAGAAATAAGTAGCCCCAAGTAAAATCTCTCATCTGTACCAGCTCCTTGAACCATGCGAACTCATATCATAACCACAACATTTCACTATAGAACTTATTTTATCAACTAAGCGGCTGAATAACATCTCCCCCTGTCTCGTGACATTGCGATCCAAGCACTGACAGGGCAAAGCAAAGAAGTTACAGAGTTAGAAGAGCAACTAGAGCAGAAGTCTACACACGTCAGGATTCGCACACTCTGCTTCCAGCTTTGTTATTAAGATCATTAGCTGTCCCCCAGTAAGAAATTACATTTCTCTAAACCACCTCAGCACCTTTATTCATAGACAGCATTTACCTACCTAACTTTGAGTCACTCAGTTTCACCTCCGTGGAACATGACTGCTGAAAGATACCTGCTCTTTGGCAGGTGGGCAGAAAGGTAAGCAAAGAGCTCTTATTTAGAGCTTCTACAGGAAAAAAAAAAAAAAGTAACAGCTCAGATCTGCACACACAGCAGGCAACAGATCTTAAAGCAGTGAAGTGCAGGAAGAACACTGCGTAAGAACAGCAGAAGTAAAATAAAAACGGAATTACACTAGCAGAGAATCGTTCCACGCACACAAGCAGCAGTAGACTCAAGCACCAGCGGGTGAGTTTCAGCTTTTCTCCCACTGATGAGCTGTGTAGCCTGGGGCAATGAACTCTATTCTCAGGACTGCAGTTTCCCTACATGTAAAACGAGTGTAATTAGCTGCTTCCCTTGGTAAAGCGTCACAAGAGCCTCAGGTTAGAAAAAGAGGTAGGATGCATGCACGGCTAGGTCCCTTACCCTGACGCTAAGAGAAATGCCTTCTTAAAAGTACAGAACCCTTCCTAGAGCCTGCTGCCAGAACGAACAAGATTATCTCCGAACAAAGGCTGAAGGACGTTATCTATCTCCCTTTGCGAGTTTGCTCCTCCCTGCTGCAAGCAGCTGGCAAGAGATACCCACTGTATCTCTAGAGACGTTCCTTGCCTGTCCTTTGTGGGGGCTGAAGCCGTTACTCGCTGGGGCTTTTTGGATGGGTCGTGGGGTTTTCTCCCGCCTTCCTACAAGAGCTGCACAAACCTTGCAAGGTAAAAGGTCGGCACCAAGATGCCGGTTGTACCGGAGAGCACTCGCGCCCCCACCTTCCGCTCCCGCGCAAAGACAGCCCCTTTCCGAGCCGACCGACTCCAAAGAAAGTGTTTTACAAACTCCTTCTAAGAGCCCCGAGAAAGGAGCCAGAAGGCGCGAACGCACCCTCGCAGGGGGCTCTCCCCAGGGAGTTCAGCCCTCCTCTGCCGCCTGGAAGGAGAGCCAGCAGCAACTGTGGTGCCAGGCTCCCTCCCTCCCCCCAACCATTCCTCCATCTGTCCAGCGAGCTTTGTGACAGTGACTGACAAGGTTATATAGAAAAAAAGGAATTTCTTTCCCCTGTTTTTGAGGTTAGAGAGGCCAATAACAGCTTTCTTCTGGTCCATGAATTGCAGCTTGTCCACTAATGACGGCATTAATGAGCCAGTTGTCTGGAGACCAGATAAAATTCTGAAACTTCCTGTGACATAGAGCAACTCGGAGTTGCTGTCGCTGCCTCTGTGGACAGCAGGACACACAAGTCAAGCTCCGCAAGGTTGTTTCAAAAGAGAACTTTTCTCATTCCGGTTCAGAACATTTTCTGTGTAGAGTAGACAAGACATCAGAGGTTGCTTTTTTTCTATAACAGCAGTTACGGTCCAGATGACAACTGAGTCGACACGGCTTGGTGCGTTTCAGCGGCCGGTGGAGCTGCTGCAGCGAGGTGCTGTCACGGCCCGAGGTGAAACACCCACACTTAACCTTCCCGAGTGCTGAGGGGATGGATGTGTGCGAATCCAACTGCGCCCTCCAGCTTCTGGTACCTGCTCGCTGTGGTGCGGGGATTTCTCAGCTAAATCACTGACCGCTCTTTCGGATTTTAGCTAACAGCGTGAGCCCGAGGGGCACTGCAGACGAGGTGCTTTGCTTTCTCACCCTACAGAGTTTAGCACGTTTTAGGTCTAACACCAGAACGTTTGTGGCTCTTCTCCCTGGGATTCTCTCCTGGTTTGGTTTTAAGCCGCTGTCGAGTCGTTAGGAATGCTGGGGCTGGTATGAGCTGCTCAGGGAGGGGACCCAGAACTC